TTTTAATTTGCATTTTTCTAATTAATAGTAATTTAGATCATTTTTATATGACTATAGATAGTTTTAATTTCTTTGTCTAAAAACTGCCTATTCATATCTTTTGATCATTTATCTCTTTGGTAATGAATTGTATTCTTATAAATTTGACTTCATTCTCTATATATTTGAGAAATGAGGGCTTTTTCAGAGAAATTTGCTATAACTCCCACTCCCCCCGCTTCAGTTTCCTGCTTTTCTTCTAGTCTTGACTGCATTGGTTTTATTTGGGCAAAAACTTTGTAATTGTTGTGATTGAAATTAAGGTAAACTGAGGTGCAAAGTTCTATGCACATTCAATTTATTGCTCAAACTAGCTATTTCCAATAAAAGAGGTCTTTTCAGATCCTCTATAAGCCAAAAAGACCATGAGATGAGGCTTACTAGCCTTCATATATTTTGGGAAGTACAAGAGAACAAAGAACAGGACACATCACAGATGGGAAATAATATAATAACATCTGGAATGCAGGGCTGACAAGACCCCCTCCTTTCATCTGGTTGCTATGGAAAGCTCATTGGTGGTATATGGAAAACTCATTGGTGGTATATGGAAAACTCATTGGTGGTATCTAGCTGCATAGCTAGTTAATGTCAAAGCAATAACAGACCAGACTTTCTTGAAGGACAGTCAATGTCATAGAGATAACAGACCAGACTCCCTGGCATCTACCTGCACCCTTCAAGAACAATAGTACAAGGGCAGCTAGTTGTACAGAGATAACAATTTTCTTTCAATTAAAGTGACTTATAGGAAAACTTAACTTTTGAACTTAGAGAGGAAAATTGAACTTCTGGACTCATGAACTTCTGAACTTAACTCAGACACAAAGAAACATGGCTCAGGCAATCACAGAATAAAATAAATTACAGGATGGAATCAAATATAAAATACTAAATAAATATTTGATTTTTCTTAATTTAATATAATAAAATTATCCATTTTATATCATAATGTTCTTTATCTCTTGTTTAGTCACAAATTCTTCCCTTACCCATAGATCTGACAGGTAAAATATTCCATGTTTCCCTAATTTGGTTATGAAATCATTCTTTTTGTCTGAATCATATACCCATTTTGTCCTCTTCTTGGTATGTGAGCATGAGGTGTTGGTCTATACCTCATTTCTGCCAAACTGCTTTCCATTTTCCCAGCAATTTTTGTCAAATAGTGAGTCTTTTGTCTTGAAAGCTAGGATCTTTGCATTTATCAAACACTAGATTACTATGGTCATTAACTACTGTGTATTGTATACCTAATCTGTTACACTGATAACACCACTCTGTTTCTTAGCCAGTACCAGATTGTTTTTATTGTTACCACTTTGTAATCCAGTTTGAGATCTGGTACTGCTGGATTACCTCCCTTCACATTTTTTTTCCAATGATTCTCTTGATATTCTTGACCTTCTGTTATTCTAGAAGAATTTTGTTATTTTTTTTCTAGCTCTATAAACAATTTATTTGGTAATTTAATTGGTATAGCACTAAATAAGTAAATTAGTTTAAGTAGAACTGTCATTTTATTATATTGGCTTGACCTTCCCATAAGCAGTGGATATTTCTCCAGTTGTTTAGATTTGACTTTGTGGTACGTGTTTTGTAATTGTGTTCATATACTTTCTGAGTTTGTCTTGGCAGGTAGACTCCCAAGTATTTTATATTGTCTGCAATTCTTTTAAATGTAATCTCTCTTTCTGTCTCTTCCTGCTAGGCTTTCTTGGTAATGTATAGAAATGCTAATGATTTATTTAAATTTATTTTGTAATCTGCAACTTTGCTGAAAGCTTCTAGTTTTTTAGTTGATTCTCTAAGTATACCATCAAATCATCTGCAAAAAATGATAGTTTTCTTTCTTCATTGCCTATTCTAATTCCTTCAATTCCTTTTACTTGTCTTATTGCTACAGCTATCAATGCCAGCACAGTATTGAATAATAGTGGTGATAATGGGTATCCTTGCTTCACCCCTGATCTTATTTGGAAGGCTTCTAGCTTATCCTCATTACAGATCAGGCTTGCTAATGGTTTTAGATAGTTACTACTTTACATTTTAAGGAAACTCAATTTATTCTTTTAGTGTTTTTAATGGAAATGTATGTTGTATTTTGTCAAAAGCTTTTTCTGCATCTATTGAGATAATCATATGATTTCTATTGTTTTTATTTTTGTTATTAGTATGATCAATTAAGCTGATAGTTTTCCTAGCATTGAACCAGTCCTACATTCCTGGTATAAATCCAACCTAGGCATAAGGTATGATCTTTGTGACATATTGCTATAATTTCCTTGCTGGTATTTTATTTATAATTTTTACATCAATATTCATTAAGCCCTATTTCTGTTGTGGTAGTTCTTCTGAGATTGAATCTGTGCTGAATAATCACCTCCAGTCATGTTACAGTGATTATTGACAAGGTCAGTGTGACTCAGGTACCAGATGGAGAGTTCCTATTGTTAGTGGTGGTTTAATGAAAGACATTTTTATGAAACTTCTCTTATGTGATATTTCATTTCTTTCCATTCTTCTCCTCTTGCTGTTGGGTGAGGACAGGTTCTAAGAATGTTCTGTCAACAAGCACGGATTTTTTTTTTAAAGTTCCTGGGGCACCCATTAGTCTGTCAGCCTCAGGAAGATTAGAAATTAGATATGGACAATATTACTGTATATTCGGGCATCCACAATCTATTTCAATGGAAAGCTGGCAGTTGAATAGCTAATGTGCAGGTGTGAGGGATCATACATGTAAGATGGCAACTTTTAGTAATTATGTCTCAGGGATAATTACTGACTGATATAAAGAATCTTATCAGAAGATAACTGATGCTGACAATTATCAGAATAATTATTCCATTATTCCAAAGACTGATAGCCCCATTGGTGAATATTTCTTGGAAGACAGGCTATGCTGGTCTGGGAGAATCACATAGCTTTCATTTTTTGAGGTCACTGCCCTTTCCTTCATCTCATATCTAAGTTTGGTGTGACCCACTTCAGTTTCTTCTTGTGGGAATCTGTTGGAGAGAGTTAACCCTGTTTGCTTTTCTCTGAAGAGAGCAGAGGTCTTGGAAGACACTATTGTTTTTCTGGGCATGTGTCTACAGGAGTGAGCTAGAAGCTCCCCTTGAGTCAGAGAGATTACTATGGAAAATTTTCTGTATATCCAAGTCTTGTTGGTAGATGCTTTCCTGACAGCTTGCTCTGAGGCCTTTCCTTCCTTTTAACTAGAGAATTATAACAAAGAAGAGAGCATAATATTAGTAATTTAGACAGATGTCTAACAATACAATTGTCTGAGAGCCAGCTTCCATCCCAAATCTGCAAGCCCATTACCAGGTCCCAATTCTCTTCAACTCCACCACAAAATATGTATAGATGAGCAGGGCACCACAAGAGAATCTTATTCTCCAAGGCATATAAAGGACAAGTCACACCTACCCTGGCACAGTGATACCTGATTTCCCCTATCCAAGGACAAGAGTATCATACCTCACAATATAAGAAACAGAGAGAGAAACCACTAGATGTTGTAGAGGTAAATTTTCTTGGTAGGTCATGTCCTGGAAATGTGACTTGCAATAAACTTTGTTAAAGTTGAAAAAAAAACTAAGTACTCAAAAAGAGGGTAATGAAAATTATAACAAGCAAATGACAGGCCTTCTCTGGTATCTCTTATGGACCTGCACCCACTGAACTGCCTTACTAAGTAGATAGGAAATTACAGGAAAGAATGAGACAAAGTTTATCTTCTAGGCCTGATCATACCAGCATCATGGACAGAGGTTCCCTCTCTTAAGGGGTTCCTTCAGGTAAATTACCTCATGGAATAGTTATTGATCCCATAGGTCAGTAACTGAATTTAGTCCATCTAAATCCTCTTCTCTCTCTCTCTCTGCTATCATCCACAATTCCATTTGATCCCTTTACTCTTAGTTTTTTTTTTATTCTTTATATGCATTTTTGTATGTCTACATTTATTGCTAGGTAGCTGCTGCTTTAGTTAGTTTAACAGACTCACATCCATGAATATGATATTATGGGATATGAGATATAGAATGTAGAAATGGAAGAGATCTTAGTAGTTGTTTAGTACAACCCTCTCATTTTAGAGATGAAGAAAATGAGACAATGAGATGAGGTAACTTCCACTTGGCCACAAGTAAGTAGCAAAGCTAAGATTAGAATCCAGGTATCCTGATTTTGATCTAGTGTTTATTCTACTATATAATTTCCAGTACCTTAAACAGTGCCCCAGAACTGAGTACCTATCTTTGTTTCAGGAGTTTAATGGTTTGGTAGAATCGTGACACTTCAAAGACCTATATGACAAATCACACAGTTTTCTAAGAGTCATACTCAGAACTGGTAGGAATTCAAATAATGTAGTAGGCCCTGTAGGAATATCAGGGGGTAGTATAAGGTAGAGGGATCAGGGATATTTCATGATTTTGGGGTGACCAATCTTTGAAAATGGCTTAATCCTGTGTAGATACTGTGAAAATTTTGCCCCAACCATGTATCTTATATCCTAAGCCTGGTCCTAGAGTGTAATATTATGGAAAGAACACTAGACTTGCAGTGTTTCTCAAGTTTTTTCATCTCAGAACTCCTTTACATTCTTAAGAATTGAGGACCTCAACAAGCTTTTGATATGTGAGTCATATCTATTGATATATACTATATTGATTTTATTAAAATCTTAGTATTATTATGAAAATAGCGTTGATCTCACAGAATTTCTGAAAGGATCTTGGGAGGCCTCAAGAGGCCCCAGATTACATATTGAGAACCACTGCTCAAATGTGATCCTGGGCAAATCACTTTACTTCTCTTGTCTGTGAAATGAGTGGGTTGGCTGGGCCAAGTGATTTCTAAGTTTTTTTCCAGCTCCAAATTCTTTGATTCTAATTTCTCCTCTCACTCCCCCACCTTGTCTCACAACATCTCCCTATTTCTTCCTGCAGCTGTTGGCTTCATGAGTGAAGATGAATACCTGGAAATTCAGGGCATCACCCGGGCACAGTCTGGAGACTATGAGTGCAGTGCTTCCAATGATGTAGCAGCACCAGTGGTGAGGAGAGTCAAAGTCACCGTGAACTGTGAGTGTCCTTAGGGTTTCCCCTCTCCTCTGATTTTAGTGGGAATGGTGTGGAGATATGGCAGGCATAAAGAGACATCTTTTACACGGATCATTAATGACCTGCTGTAGGAGAGGAATACATCATCCATCCTCCTGGGCCAGACTGAGCTGGTTAGCATCATCACTTAGGGATCTTCTCAACCTAAGGTCTGCAACACTCATCCTGTGTAGCCAGGTAGCTGAAGTGTCACTATGAAATGCTTAAAAGAATATGACTTTTAATTGACTGGTAAGCGAAGGTACTTCAAGGAAGAATAAGGCAAGAGGTATTGCAACAGGGATGTGGGTGGAGAGTGATGCCAAGTAAGACAATGATTGAGGGAGAACAATTCCTGAAAGACAAAGAACATTCCACTATGTAAAGAGAGGGCTGGTGGGGGACTTTGAAGCCAAAGTGCAGTAAGAGTTGACCTTCAGAATGCTCTTGGTACTTCTCTCTCTCTCTAGACCCACCCTATATTTCCGAGGCTAAGAGCACAGGAGTTGCTGTAGGACAGAAGGGAACGCTGCAGTGTGAAGCATCTGCTGTCCCTTCAGCAGAATTCCAGTGGTATAAGGATGACAAAAGGTAAACAATATAACAGGGGGCCAAGAGGAACTGCCCTCTAGCCTGCAGGCTACAATCTGATGAGTAGAGATGAATTCTGGTCAAGCCTACTCCCAATCTTCTTTCTCTCGTTACAGAAAAAAAAAAAAACCCCAGTGTCTAAAACTTTGCTTGGGATTCCTAGATTAGGCCCTTTTAATACTGCTGGACACAACTGTCCCTGGTCCATGAACTGAAGGAAACCATAGTACATGAAAGCAAAACATAAAGAAAGGCTACCAGAAGTACTAGAAATCCTGTGAAAAGGCTAGGAAAGATGTTTGCTGTCTCAGACTATTTTTAACTTATCCTCAAAACTGTATTAAGAGTTTAGGGAAGGACAAGAGGACAGTGGGTGGGGTTAAGAAGTCTCAGATACTTAATAGGTCTGCAGTTCAACCACAGAGAATATCAGTAGCTTTGTATAGAAGGGGTCAGGGACCTGACTTAGTCCAGGCTTTGTAGTAGGCTGTCCTATTCTGTCACAATAGGAAGATGGCAGGGGGTGTGGAGGAAATCTAGGTCTTTAGTTCTCTCTATTGTAGTGGGTATTATTGGGGTATTTGTTGTGATTTAGCAAAGATTAAAACTCCTTACTGTGAGGAGTTGTAAGGAAGCCTTTCAGCTCGGGGTCCTCCAGTCCCAGTAAGGGCAGGAAACATTGCTGTTACCAAATAATTATTATAAAGCAGCTAGAAAAATAGAGACACATAGAAGACCCAATCCTTGGGCCTAGAACAGTGTGTTAAGTCAAAAGGATAGAATGCTAAGAGCCTTAAGTTTACAAAGCAATAAACTGGCAAAGAAAGGGTTCTTAGAAGCAGAAAGATCCAAAGAGAATGGAAAGTGTGACGAAGTGAAAAAGAGGTTGTAGATTAGCCATGGATTAAAAAGAGGTGAGGGAGAATGGGGGGGGGAGGGGCATCTCATTCAGAGAATTACTGCTATGTCATGATTTCCTTTCTTAAACCAAACTTGATTTAGGATTTATTTATCATCAAGTCACTTTTGCCATTAGATTCACAAATTTGATTATAATGATTCCAAGTGATGAGTCGGTTATTTCATTTATGAAGGCTGACTCTAGCTAAACCCTTAGTGAGGGATGCCAGATGCACAACTCCCAGGTTAGTGAATGAAGAAGCCAAAACACAGACAAAGTACAGAGGACTGGAGCAGGGCAAAAAATAGAACTAAAAAATCTTGCTTCTTAGCCTGCCCAAGGAGTGATACTCCTCCAGTGAATAAAGAGCCTACTCTTGGGAATCCCATTTTAGCAGGTTTCTCCTGGTAGAACTAATGGAGCTGAGGTAAGAGGGGGTTTTAAGCAGATTTCCTGAAATCACAGAAAAAAATGGTGCAAAATGGGGCAAAAGGGGGCAAAATGGAAGCCTTTTAATATCTGCCCCAACCATATTCCTTGATTTTGATTCTTTCTGGAAAAAAAAATGAAGACAAAGAAAATGAAAGGAAAAAAGTTTTAAAATACATTGAGGGAAATGAAACTCGTGGTAGACAAAAATAGACAGTAATGGGTAAATGAAAAAGAAAAACAAACCTCCTTTTTCTCTTTTCCCAATCTCTTGCTATCTCTGTAGAAGGGGCAACACCATCTGCTGTTATTTACTGGGGAACTGGAGGTAAGAAAGCATCACATGAGAGGGTTTCCAGAGGCTGGTGACACACAGGAATTTTATGCTTCTTTTGTCTGCATTACTCTGTTGGCACCACTTCTCTCCCTTCTTTTTCTTTCTTCTCCTCATCTCTCCTCTTTCTTCTCCTCTCTTCTGTTTCCTTTCTGATTTCTCTCTCCCTTTTTCCACATCTCTGAGTGTCTCTCTATGTGTTTCTCTTTGACACTTTCTCTATCTCTTTCTCTCTGCCTCTGTCACTTTCTCTGTCTTTCTGTCTCTACCACTGCCTCTATCTCTGTCTCTGTCTCTCAGTAGAATGCATACTTCGAGTCAGGAAGATCTAAGTTCAAGCCTTTCCTCAGAAACTTAGTAGCTATGAGACGGTGGGCATATTACTTAACCTCTCCCAGTCTCAGTTTCCTAATTTGTAAAATAGAGATAGCAACAGCACCTACCTCACAATGTATTAATGACTCTGTGACAAATGAAAAACCTGAGAGACAGTTTCTAGGTAATTAATAACATATTAATTAGGATAGCTGATAATAAATAAACTGATGGTCAGTGGTTTCTCTTCATAAACAAAAACAAACCATGGAGAGGCTGAAAACCTTAATATACTTTCAGAAACAGGGTTTCCTTTCATCCCTGATTGGTGAACATTTCTTCAGTTTCTCCTGCTGAGAAAGTGGCTTGAACTTCAGATTCAGCTAGCCCCAGCAATCTGGACAGGGGAATCCATCTCCATTCAGACCCTTCTGGTTGGTTTTCTCCTTCATAAACTGGGTCATCCTAAACTCCAATAGAGGGGCACAAAAACAAGGGCTCATTTCCTTTAGGCAAGAATTAACCTAGATTAGATTCTGTTTATGTTCTAAACAGAAGTAAGGTCTCCTAGTTGAGTGGGGCCCCTCCCATGATCTAAGAGGATATTCTGGGAGTGTTAGGCTCATCTTATCAATCAGCCATGTCCTTCAGAGACTGACACTGGGTCCTAAATAAGGAGAAAAAGCTCTTAATTTAATAATTGGTTGTTAAAATAATAGCAAAATAATAATTTCTGTCAACTCTCAAATGAGACAACATGCTTTGCAAACCTTAAAGTGCTGTGTAAATGCTAGTTATTATTATCGTGGAGTTGTCATTCTCCTTGGCATCTGATTTAATCAGAACTTTGCTGCTCTTGAGCTTCCTGTCATTGACAAACTCTTTCATGTTAGTAAGCCTGCCAAATGATGTCAGGGAGTGAGCCTGCAGCTCAGCTAGAGCAGAGGGAAACAGGTACCAGGACACCTAGAGTTTTTCCTCTGCAAGGTAGATAGGGAGCACTTTGAAATAACCTCTTTCTCAATTTTCGGTAGGTGAGTCATCTTCAATGGCAAATTGGAGAAAGGTTGCTAGTGGGCAGTTTTTGGATGGGTCCTGGTGTGGGCTTTGAATCTACTGACCCAATGGATCTAGGCATCCACATCTCCCTGTAGGCATTGTCTATCTAGGGGACAAGAAACAAGCATCACACTTAATAGGGGCCACCTTGTTGCAGGGACAAATTAGCTAGGGGAAAGATCAGAGGTGAATTGAGAAAAATAGAGCCCCAGGAGGAGAAGGAGGGGCTGGGGACAAAGTGGCTCGGGAGACAGAAGGAACCACACTGTGAAAAGAAAACCCTGTGATTCCAAGAGCTGCAAAGTGCTGTAAAGTGCTGTCAGGCCATCCCACACTGCTCTTAGCTAAAGACATTTCAAAGCTGTCAAGCTCGAACCTGCCTCCTGATTAGTGTCTCTCCTCATAACACAACCCATGTTCAATTCACAGCTCAGGCCTGATGTGAAGCATGCCTCAGCACCTGATGATGGAAAAACAGCAAACAGGAAAGGGATGCTTAGCTGGCAAAAGGCAACCTCCTTAACATTACAACTTTAATTATTAGGTTATTCCCTGGGAGATGGGGGTCTAACTATCATGCCTGGGAGTTTGGATCTGCACATTATTAAAACAGGGAGTGATGACATGTTCACGCGATATTTAGTGATGTACAAATTACATTGTTTGCTTGCTGTGTGGCGTCATATTTACATAGCCTATATTGTGGTTAGAGGAAAATCCCTACTGCCAAGGTTCTTGTGCCTGACCCCTGCCTTTCCAGATTGTTGATTTAACCTCCCACTACACCTCCAGAGGATATGTGCAACATCTGGGAGTTCAAAGACTGCTCATATCTTCATGATATCTTGATACTTGTGATATCTTCAAGGTATCGTCATGATACCTTGGAGTAATGAGAGTCTGTATTCTTTCTCCTTCTTTGGCTTCCATGATATGACCATTTCCTTATTCTCTTTCTACCTCTTACCTGTGTTTGCTCAATGTCCTTTGTTGTATCATTACTCATTTCTACTCTGTGTGCCGTCTCTTCTTACCTATTTTGTAATCTTCCCTTAGTGATCTCATCATCTTTTTTTGTGTTCAAGCATCATTTCTATGCAGATGACTTCAAAATCTACATATCATCCCCTAATCTCTCTCCTGAACTCCAGTTCCTTATCAACTACCTATTCAGCACCTCCAATTGTATGTTTCAATAGCATGACAGACTTAAAACAGATCTCATCATATTTTCCCCTAATTCTATCCTTTCTACAAACTTCTCAAATTCTCTATTTCTGTCCAGGCATCATCATTCTCCCAATCATTATGTTCATAGCCTTGGAGTCACCTTGTCTCTTCCATTTCCTCCAACTGCCCCTCTTCCCTGCATAACCAAAAAGTTGCTTAAATTCTGAGTTTCACCCCTGCAACATCTCTTGCATCTCCCCCCATCTCTAGTCCCAAGGCTACCATCCTCGTTCAGTCCTTCATCACTCTCACTTATTTCATCAGTCCTGACACTACTATCCATTCTCTACACAGTTGCCAGAATAATCTTACTAAGACATAGGTCTGATCATGTCAATTCTTTGCTCAAAAACATCCAGTTATTCAATATAAGAAAAAAAAAGCAAACTCCTTAAGTTGGAGCCACATTTTGAGGGGCTTTAAATTCCTGGCCAGCATTCCAGTCTAATTTCACATTATTCATTTTCAAGCATTCCATACTCCAGCCAAACTGGACGATTAGCCAGTCTCAGAATTTATCCTTACATCTTCCACCTCTGGATATTTACACAAGTTTTCTCCAATGACTGAAATGTTGTCACTCTGAATCTCTGTTTCTCAGAATTCTTGTTGCCTCTGGTGCCATGTTCTCCAAGAAGCCTCTTCCCCCACCCACAATTGGTTTAGCTCTCCCTCTCTCTCTCTCCCTCAGTTACTTTATCCCCTACTTGTTTATGCACATGTTACATGTCTTCAGATACATTTAATTTAGAATTTAAGTTTCTTGATGCAGGATTTTTTTTTCTATTTTTGTCTGTGGATGCCCCAGATAGTGTCTTGCATGAGAGAGAATGTGGTCCAATGGAAAGAGTTCAGTGTATGAAATCAAAAGACCTGAGCTCAAGCCTTAGTTATGCCACTATGGCCTTGCCTCTTTAACATCGGACAAGTTATTTCATTCCTGTGGGTTTCACTTTCCTTATCTGAACAATGAAGGTGTTGGGCTAGATGATCTCTAAGAAACTGCTGAACTCTAAATACATTAACAAATAGCAGGAACTTAGTAAATGTTTGTTGAATTGAACTTGATAATCTTTTATTTTGGCTAGCCTCCTTGACAAATGTCTTGTCCAGGTTCAACTAATCCATTCAGACCACATCCAGGGTGCTTACACCTGCTACATGAACAAGAGTGCCCTGGATGAACAACCTGATTCTTGCTGAGTTCCTTACATTCTCATTTCATGGTTCTGGCCATAGTGTGGGCTCATATTCCGAGGATGGACAGAAAAATTGCTTCAAAGCAGACAAAAGATTGCCTTAAACCTTTTCCTATTATATTTCCATATACTTCATAGAAGTACAGATGATAGGAAATTCTTTATTATTAATAATACCTCATGTTGTTATTAGGGTAACTAGGTGGCACAGTGGATAGAGTGCCAGGCTTGGAATCAAAAGACTCATCTTCCTGAGTTCAAATCTGGTCTTAACTCTGCGACCCTGGGCAAGTCACTTAACTCTATTTTTCTCAGTTTTCTCATCTGCAAGATGAGCTGGAGAAGGAAATGGCAAATTACTCCAGTGTCTTTGCCAGGAAAACCCCAAATGGGGTCACAAGGAGTTAGACATGACTGAAAAACAACATTGGTATAGCCCTTTATGGTTTGCAAAACATGTTACATACATCTTCTCATTTGATCCTCACCATTCCTCTATGAGGCAGATGCTATTATTATTCCATTTTTTTTCAGTTGTGGAAATTGAAGCTCAGCAAGGTTAAGTGATTTACTCAGGGTCACAGGACTGTAAGTATCTGAGACAGGATTCAAACCCAGTTCTATCTAACTCAAGTCTAACATTCCACCTCACTCCAAGTTGCCTCTAATTGGAACATCTAACAGCCTTTCATTATGGCCCATAAGAATGCAGTACTCTCAAAAGAATGTCTCTTTCATTCTTTATAACTTTCAGTCAGATTCATTTATCTTCTCAGAAGACGTTAAATATACCTCTCTAGTACCCATTTGCCAGAGGTGTTTAGAAAAGATCTCTCACAAAGATCCTACAGCATGTCTACTTCTTTTCCAAGCCTAAAGTTACATTTAAGCTCAGGAAGATATGAAGAGGAGAATATTCCATGTGTACCTTAATCACAATATTAAGTCTTCCGAATGGGTTTCCTGTGCTTCTTCCACCAACACTTGCCCTGGGCCCCTAGAAAACATACTCCATTGACTTTCAGGTTTCTCTGATAGGAAAGATGGATGGCAATCTCTGCCCCTTCCCTTCCTTCCAGGTCTGAGGGAATGGGAAATGAAATCATTGGTGAAATGCTTTGAGCTCTGGGAAAGAATCATGTTGCTCACATATAGGGAAACAAATGTTCATTTAATCCCCTTTGGATATTTTTCTCTTATAATCTTTGTCATCCTCATCATAATAAAAAAGTCTATACTTTGAGCACTTATTATGAGGGTAACATTCTAGGTGGTATATATTGTTGTTGACTAGTTGAGTAATTGTCAAAAGCAGTCCTTATTTTCAAAGAAGATATATGTGTGTATATGTATGTATGTATATATACATATATATGTATTTACAATTATATATGTAAATATGCCTATATATACACATCAAGTATACATATTTTATATTGCATGTCTTTGTATAATCAACCAAGAGATGACCACTTAACAGTTGATGTCTTCAGGGTGAAAAAATAAACAAAAACAGAGAAACAGGAATATATATCAATGTATATGAAATCACACTTAGGAGAGTAGGAGGAATGATGGTTATAAGGTCATTAGAGAGTAGAATATGATGGGACCATACATTTCCAAAAATGTCTTGTTTTGATGTTGAAATTTTGACCACCTCCTTTCTTTTACTTTCTCTCCTTTTCTTATCCCAGGCTAGTTGGAGGACAGAAGCGAGTGAAAGTTGAAAACAGACCATTCCTCTCAAAGCTCATCTTCTTCAATGTCTCTGAACATGACTACGGGAACTACACTTGTGTGGCTTCCAACAACCTGGGTCACACCAATGCCAGCATCACATTGTTTGGTGAGACAGAACCCCACACAGGACAGGGAGGGTTCCCACTTATGTTGGAGAGAAGGAAAGGCAGGGAGTAGAAATCTTGACCATAGAATCCAAAACAGTAATATGAGACAGATGGGGAGTAAGAAGGGACACACAGACAGAAACACAAACATATATACATGCAAAATAGCCCATCTAAAGGGCTCACAGATGGGTAAAAGTGTGTTAGGGAAACCCAGCTGTCAAAACACAAAGTTTCTTCCTCGTACAGATCACAGGGTGTGGTGGGATAGAGTGGGGAAGAGCAGAGTATGTATGAGAGACATAGTGGATGATCCATAAAACAAAACAAAACAACTCTGGTTTGTTCAAGCTAGATTTACATGCCAAACAGCAAACAGTCACTTTTTCCAATGTTTGCTTTAGAAGGCGTTATCATTAGGGAAAGTGACTTTCATTTGTGAGACAGGAATCAAAGATATTTTGGAATTCCAGATAACTTCAGTTTTCATGAGAGAAGATAGTGGTCAATGGGAGGTTCTCAGGAATTGTATTTGTGGCAGGGAAGTTGCCTAAAACAATAAAGAATGGTCTATACAGTCCATTTTCCTGATTAATGGTTGAAATCCATTCATTCATTCACTCATTCATTCAACAAATATTTATCAAGCACTCAATATGTGCAAGTCACTGTGCTATGCCCCCATTGCACCCCTGGCCAGCTGTGTTGGTATCTGCATCAGGTGAGTGTACCTCCTTTCCTGACCCCTATGTACAACAGCCTGAAGATGGAGGTTGGGTTTCCCACACTTATACGGTGGTGGAACAACCTCCACAAACGTTATTGAGTGCATTTTCATAATGCCCAGTCACCAGGCAGAATTTCCAGAGGTTCAGATAATTGCTTCATCCTTCCTTCAAGCCTGGGTGGGTTTAAAAATTCTCCGCAACCTTGGACCCTACAGGATCAAGTTCTCTATGCCCTTTTATGAAAGTCCTAATTTCTATCTCACTGTTTGCTAAGCTTTAGGGGGAGAGAAAGGAGCTAAATGTAAGGAAAGGATTTCTGAGAAACTGGCAAAAGGGAAAAAATAGAAAAAAGGAAGAAAGGAAAGGCTATCCCAGAGGGAAGTCACTAGTTAAGTGCCCTGTGGCTTTTTCTTGGTCCTTCTATCAAAAAAAATTATTAAAGATTTGGACAGCAGTATAGATGACATGCTTGCCAGATTTGCAGATGACATGAAGCTAGGTGGGATAGCCAACACATTGACCAACAGAATCAAGATACAAAAACATTTCATCCATTTAGCCTAATGGGCCAAATCAAACAAGATGACATTTCACAGGGATAAATGTAAAAATAACTACAAGTGCAGAATGAGGGAAGCACGATTTTACAAGAGATCTGGTGGAAAGGGCATGGTGATTTTAGTATATTTTAAGTTCATTATGAGTCAGTAGTGTCAAAAAACAGTCAAGAAAGCTAATGTAGTCTTAGATGGCATTAAGCAAAGAATGGTATCCAGAACAAGGAAGGTTAGAGTCCATCTGTACTCTGATTTGGTCAGGCCACATCTACAGTAATAATACTTTATAATTATTACATAATGATAGTCCAGTTCTGTCTACCCCATTTTAGCAAGGACATTGACAGGTTAGAGTGCAACCAGAGGAGGTTGAAAAGAATGGTAAGAGGATTATAGACCATGCTAAAAGATTAGTTAGGGGAACTGGGGATATTTAGTCTGGCAAAGAGAGTATATAGGGAATCGTGATAGCTGCCTTTAAGTCTCTTAAGGGCTGACATTTGGAAGAGGCATTAGATTTGTTAGTTTGCCTCCATAGGGCAGAACTAGGAGCAATGGGTGAAACTTGGACAGGCACATTTTGGTTCAGTACAAGAAAATACTTCCTAGTAATTAGTGCTGTCCATAAGTGCAATGTGCTGTCTTGGGAGGTAGTTTGTTTGAATAGAGATTGGAAGTCTTTAAGCAGAGGCCAGATGACCATTTACTTCTTAAAGGTGTTGCTACTGACTCTTGCTCAGGTAGATATTTGGCCAGTAGTCTCCAAGTTGCTTCCCAGCTCTGGGATTCTATGATTCTATTAAAATCAACTTTTTGTTAAGAGTTGCCAACAATTCCATACCTCTGAAAACTCTCCTTTCGGCTCACCAAAGCAAGCTGTACTTTGCTTGTGAAGGATGAGCAGACAACCCTATTGCATCCGCACATCTCAGATTACAAACCACATTTTAATCAGTTTACTCCTTACTCCAGATATAAAGTAAATCCATTTAATGGGGTTATAAGGGGAGTGGGAATAGTGAGAGACCCACCTTTAATCCCAGAATTGGTTTATCAGAATAGGGACAGCTGTGATGAGAGTGACTGATCCATTCTGATGAACCCCCACAAGAGGACAGCTACAATTGTGCAACACTTCTGTCAAGCTTTTTTTTTTCTTTTTTTGGCCGGTGGATATTGGCATAACCAAAGGGGCCAAGATCTGAGAGGAGGAATTGGCTATTTCCTCCTTGTCTTGGAATTGTCCCCCAGTCTCTTCCCCAACATATTTCCATTTATTGGCCTGTCTTTATCCTCCTGAGTCCTCTGGACGTTTTAACTAGAATGTATGTAGTACTACTTTGATGAGCTTTCTGATCTCTCCTCAATGACTGGGCTTTTTTTCAAAACAAGGAGTAAATGACTTTTGAAAAATAAGTAGAACAAAGAAAATCTGGTGGGGAGAGAAAATGGGAGTATTGAGATCCATATTTAAGTCTGTTTTTCTTTTTTCCAGAAGACCCATGTGTAAAGGATTCTATCCTAAGGCAGCAATAAGGAATTAGCATAATCCACAAAGTTCTTAGACCTGCCCTTTAGCTGAACATGGTTGGATTCCTCCTTCCAAAGGTCCTGATCCTCCCTCTGGAGTTCCCCAAGGCTAAATGCTGCTGCTAGGGAGGCATATTATGTCTTTTCCCTTACCGTATCCTATACTGGAACTAAATGCTGCCACTATGGAGGCATGTTATCTGTTTTCCCTTACCCTATCCCACACTTGATCTACCTTAAGTTTGAATAAGAATATTTACTTATGAAGGATTTCCAGAATGAGTCCATCAAGACAAAGTAATGAGAAATGCTTAGCAACGATTCTCCCCAGGCCATGCTGGATAATGCCTATTTTCCTAGAAACCTCCAATTCCTCTAATCAATCAATGAGATGAATGTAGATCTCAAGAGCTAATCTTCTCTTTCACCCTGGTCTGGAAAATGAAATTCAATAATCTTTTCTAATACAGTCTGTTGTCTCACCTCAAGAAAGTACCAGTTTAGTGTTCACCTCCCTAAACCCCAGAAGCACAATACTCACTCCACGCTCTTCATTTTAATGGGCTTTAATGTTGTAAGGTCTCCCTAAAAGGTGGCCACTTAGAGTGGGTAAGTCCTCTAAGTCAAAAAAAAGCAAGACTTTGAAATGTAATCAGCAACTTTCTAGGTTAACTTCTTTCCTTCCCAGTTATGAGGATGGGATCATTTAAAAGAAAAGATGCAGATGAGTATAGTTTTCCCTTAACCAATAAACAACCACATATTATGCCACTAGCTGTGCTTGGTTCTAGGAATATGTAAAGGCAGAAAAGGAACAGTTCCTGGCCTCAAGGAGCCTATATTCCATTGGAAAGACAATGTACACATGTATGTACATAGAAAAGAACTAATGGGCAGGCAGGTGGGCAGGCATTAGTGGCAGGGAGTACTAGGAAAGATCTCAAGTAGGAAATGGGAAATGGCATCTGAGCTAAGCTTTGAAGGAACCTAAGGATTTAGGTGGCAGAGGTGGGGAGAGATGACATTCTAGGCATTGCAGACAGCCTATGCAAAGACGTTAAAACAAGAGATTCAATGTCATATATGAGGGGCAGCAAGAAGGCTGGCTTGACTGGACCAAGAGTACAGGAAGGAAAATTATGTGTAATAAGCCTAGGAAAGTCAGTTGGAGCCAAGTTGAGGAAAGTTTAAATATCAAATAGAGGAGTTTGTATTTGACCGTAGAAAACAAAATGTCTCCAACATACACAAAGATAACCCCTTTCTTTTTAAAAATCTTACCAACTCTGCCACTTCTCCCCACTATACACACATAACCCATATTTACACATGGGGCCTTTCCTTTTGAGATATGTCCTTGACGACTTTTCAAAAGTATTCTGTTGCCATTGTATTTTCAATGTGATTTTATGCTATATTGTTTCATGACTGTACATGGTCTTCTGCACCAAAGCTTTAGTGTTATGGTTGGATCTGGAACTGTTTAGAAAACACACAGGCTTAGTTCAAGGAAATATCACAGTGTAGACATGCCTGGGAAATTCCCATGTCACTTATTACCTCCAAAAGTGCCCTTACTTCTGTATCATCAATTGAATGGATGTAAGCATGAGAAGCAGTACCTCATTTCAGGAAAATGTTGATGAAGATATTTGTAATTTTTTCCCCCTGCAGCATCCCAGCAAGCCAGCCAGGTTACAGCCATCTCACTGTCAATTCGCTCATAAACCAAAGCCTCTTCCTACCTGATCTGGACAAAAGCATGTTTCCCCAGTGGAAAGCAAAGGGGCACAGTTGCTGTGTAGCCTCCCTTCATGGCCATGAATCCAGAATGTGTCCCACCTGTCCTGTGAAGGGGGTAGTTTCTGAATACATGAGCCAATTTAGGGCCTAGGCATTTTGTAAGGGACTCCTGGTGATCTGTTCCCAAGACAATGCACTTCAGTGTTGGGAGGCATTCGTCCCATGAGAATTTGGAATAAGTGGATTCCTAAAGTTAGGTCACAGTTCGGGGTGGGGAGTTAAGTAGAGATAGAAAGGGATGCAACACAGGGGCCATGGCCCTTTGCCACCAACTCCCCAACCCATCTGCATTAATGGAGAGAGGGATGTGGCAAAGAGTGGAGAGTGGTCACTCTCAGCAGGAATGAATGCCAAGCTACAACTCTGTGTGATGTGCTTATTGTTTATCATGCGGCATTATGTTCATTTATCATATTCTTGCTGTCTCCCCTTGCCTCACACCATGCCATTCCTTTTTTTATTCAACGTGTTTGTGAGGCAGTATACAAACTATATATAATCAATATATAGGTACTGTATATAAATATATATTGTGTTTTCATTTTTCTCTTCCATCTTTCCCTCACCTGGTTTAGAAATTAATGAGCCCACAAGCTCAGCTTTGTTCCAAGGTCAGTATTGCTCTTGCTCTATGTTGCCCTGTTTTCTCCTCTTCCTCTTCCCTAAGTTCCCATTCCCCTACCCTGCCATAGCCTGGCATCCCCATATGTGAGATTGCATGGAGGATGATGGAAGATCATCAGAGGGATTTACAGGGAGCTTGGTGGGAATCCCAGGGAAGCTTCATTTCCAGGCTTATTTGTTTGTTTGTTTATTTATTTATTTATTGCTTGGTGCCAGCACAGCCACAGGAAGGGGAACAGGAAAAAGAAGAAATAGCCTTCTCTTCTCAGGTCCAAAAAAAAAAATGAACTTGAGGAAAAAAGGAGGAATAAGTATGAAACAGCAGGGGATAGTGAGGCACTTGACAGTTCTGAAATAGAAAACTAAGCAATTGCTGGACAGGAGACTGCTGACAGCATCTCACCAACAGGGTCAGAAATGCAATGTATAAGGAAGAGTCAAAAAATTCCACAAGGGTTCTTGACCTCAGACAAACACATCAGCCTCAGTGGTTTGTTCACGCCCAGATTCTCCAAGGGAAGGCTAGAAAAAAAATTATTACTAAATTGAATTCCCAAAAAAAAAAAAATGCCCACCTCCAAATCAGTAAGATTCAGGCATTGTGGTTTGTCTTTACTCCTCTCCTCTCAAGATGTCAGCTGAGAGGTAAGGTTCCCCTCCTCCTGAGGTTTTAAGGGGTATATTAACTCATTTTATCATCTCCTTTCCCCCCTCCTTTTCTTTCCACTTTCCTTGCATGACTCTTGCATCTCTCTTCCCCTCCTCTCTGTCATTTAAGTCCTGCTTGAACTCTTCTTTCTTGGCCCCGTAATGTCTGATGGTAGGTGACCATTAACCTCAACTACACACTGGCTCTAATGAACACAGAGGGAGAATATGCTGTGATGAAAAGAGTGTGAGGTGTGTGTGTGTGTGTGTGTGTGTGTGTGTGTGTGTGTGTGTGTTTATGTGCATGCATGTTAATTCTCTGTTGAAGGGGATGGCACTGATGGCAAAGGCCAAGAAGAAAGACTACCTTATAAGGGAATGAAGCAGAGAGAATCTGGTCCCCTTTTCCAACTTACTCATTCACTCACCCTTTAGTCTTGGTGGGAAAACAAAATAAACCAAAATTAAAAGCAGAAAACCCGCATCCCAAGTGACTTACAGACTTAACAAGGAGAAAAAAAGAGAAGAATCAAAGGAAGAAACTAGATAGAAGAAAAATCGTGATAGAAAGACAGGGAGATTGATATAATGTAGAGAGTCAGGGTTGGGGTAGATCTTTGTATATATTGCAGTCATGTGTAGACTGGTGCACAGATGGAAAGATGAAATGGCAAAAGAAAAGATGAAAAAGTAAAATTTATGGAAGAGAGGCTTTTGAGGGGCAAAGGTTATATGTAGAATTATGTTGTTGTTTGTCCTTCATTCTTGAAGAGCACCATGACATCAAGAAGATGATGCCGTGACTTGCAAATGAAGTGGATTTAAGTGAGAGAGGTCTGTGCAAGGTCACCAGCCTTACTTTCTCCTCTGGAGCCATCTGAATCCAGTGGCGAGATATAGATCAGGATGACTGGAGATGGCCCTGGATAGAATTATGTAGAATAAAGTCGAAGAGATGAACCAGTCAAGTAGATGGATACTGTTAGTTTTACTCCTGTAGAAGTTTGGAGTTTGCCCAAGTTAATTCTGAACACATAGCTCACTCCCTAAGCTCACAATCTGGAAGTTTTGAAAGTTCCTTTAAAGTCCATGGTTTCTAGAAAGATAATATTCAGATCCAATGTAGCCTCAGCCATGCTGAGAGAGTATTTTCTGTCAAAGCTGTCTCAAAATAAAACATTATATAGTGAACCCTGGATTGGAGTGGAAGGACCTTGTTTCTGTTCTTGACCCTACCACTAGCTTACTAACTGGGTGAATGTGGGTAAATCATTTAACTTGGCCTCAGTTGCTTTGTTTATATAAATGAGGGAAATGGATAAGCTAAATCTCAGTATCTCTTTCAGCTCCAAAGTTCTATTATCTTTTAAAAATTCTCTTCCTCTTTCCACCTCCAAAATCCTGTAAATGGGGGAATAGTAATAATAAGAATCCAGGGGCTCTAGAAATAAGACTGGAAGAAGGTTGAAAAGAACTCCCATTTCTATTAGCATTCTAAAGTTTACAAAGGGCTTTTTACATGACAACTCTGTGAGACAGGTAGCACAAGTACTATTTTCCACATTTTACAGATGAGGAAAATTGGATTTCAGAGAGGTTAAATTGACTTATTCATGATCATCCTACTTGCTCCTAAGTAGCAGAACCTGGATGTGAATCCAAATCTTTTAGTACTCTTTCCTCTCTAACAAGGTTGGCTTTTTTGTTTTGTATTTCTGTTTTGTGACTTGAATTTTCTTCTGGGCCATAAGGCTCTGTGAAAAAAGGGATAAGAACATTATATAGCACTTTAAGGCTCGAAAAAAAAACATCATATACATTTTCTTGTTTGATCCTTTCAACAACCCTGTGGGATAAATACTTCAAGTATTATTATCCCCACTTGAAAATGAGGAAAGTGAGTCGAAGGAATGTTTAAGTGATTTGCTCGTGTGTACACAACTAGGAAATGAGATATTATTTGTAAGCACTTAGCACAGTACCTGGCACATGGTAGGTACTTAATAATGTCTTCCCTTTCCTTTCTATCTTGCAGCCAGCTCTACCTGGCTGCAAGTCCAACACTGTCCACTACATCCCATTTTTCAACCAGCTTTCTGTGTTGTAGAATTTGCCTTATTTAATGTAGTTGTGTTTATTGGTTATTTTTGGTAGGCTTGAAATACACTAGAGAATCATGGTTTTCTTCAAGGGTACCTTCAAACTATGCTCATTTCATTTGGGAAGTATGACATAGATTTATTGAATATGGATCAGAGAAGTTCCCAGAAGGCATAGCTTTGTATGTGAAACTCCAGGTGGGTTTACAGCTCAATGCCCTAGTGAAATTAGGTACTCTTGACAAGAGTATTCAGTTCCTCAGCTTCTCATTCTTCACTGTCCCTTATACAAACACAACAGATTGTGAGCCACATAACTCACTCACATCAGTATTTGGTGGTGCAAGATTTCTTGAGCATTATGTAAGAAATTCTGAAGTAATGCCATTTACCACTGAGCTCTTCAGCAGGTAATATTTCTGGGGTCCTCAATATTCATTCACCATCACAATGCCTTGTCTCCAAGGCATTAAGTCAGCTTTGATGGTATCAGCAGGCAGAGAAAGGTCTCCTGAATAATGCCCGTGAGTCTTGTGGTGACCATCAAACCAATTTATTAGAGAATCTGGAACCAGAGTAAACTCCGTATGTCTCATGGACACAATTACAGCAGGGAGTTATTATCAGGGCCTCCCCATGGAGGAGTGAGGAGAGTTAATTGGATTCGGCACTCTAGCAGTTAGCATTTCTTTGGCACATGTGTTAACATTACACAAGCTGGTTCTTTTCCTGGAGGTTTGGATATCTTGACATGAAGCAAGACTTTGGGGCTTTTCATTTCTGCAACCATCCTTGAGCTAAACTGTAAATTGGACATGACCTTCCAGGATTAGAAAGGGAAATAGAAAGAGATCCCTCTGTGAAAGCATTTCGGCCATCCAATTCATCAGTATCCTCTAGGAGAGTTTTATTTTGGGAGTGTGTGTTTGTGTGTGTGTGTTTGCCTGTGTCTTCCTCCCACCCCCCAGCTTGGCTTCATCCTGTAGTTAATGAGAAGGCTACAGTTATAATTCATTCACATTCTTGGCAAGAGAATGCATGTTTGAACTGCCAGTCTCAAGTCTCCTTAGTAGCCAAAATGTCATTCATAGGCTTTGCAGATGACCAGAGCTGGCTCAGAAGCCTCCAAAGATCCTCACATTTCTAGAGCCTTAGGCATTCCAACATAACTTGGGTTTATATTATATAGTTTTTGGTAACCATCATTTATTAGTCTGCTTAACTTACAGATTTATACAACTATAGACTTAACTATAGCATGAGGAGGTTAGGTTAGATATGAAGAAGAATTTTCTGGCAACAGTTTAATTTTTTCCTGAAGAAAACTCTTTTTAGCTGATGGAGTTATAATATTGTTACTTAAACTAGCCCAAGTACAATTAGAGGGAAAGTCAGACACAAAAATAATTAATGTTTTCCCCCGGTCTCTGTAGACACTAAAGAATTTTACCTTTCTCTCAAGTGGTGTCTCAAGCTAGATCTTTAAAAAAAAATACCTGAATAAGAAGAATTCAAATTTCTCATAAGTCTTTTCCCCAATCCCACTCTACTTCTTGAATCTGGAATACAGTATTAACTTTGTTGTGCTTTTGTTTGCTTGTTGTTTTGTTTTTATCTTGCTTTGTTTTGTTTTTGTTTTTAAATACTTGATTGAGGGCTTGAAGGGTCCTTAAAGGCCAGCAAATACAAATCTCTTCTTTTTCAAATGAAGAATGAAAGCACAGCCGCTAACTTGCCCGGGGTCACAAAGCTTGTGAGCCTGAGGCAGAATTCAAACCCAGGTTTTTCTGTCTCTGATTCCAACACTCAATCCTCCATGCCACCGACCTATGGTGCTTCCTATGGACATAATCACTATTACAGTGGAAGTAAGCAGAGGGAAAACTGTCTCCTAAACATTCATGTCACATTTCCAACATGATCAAAAAAAGTTCTGCCTTACCATCCACTCTCTCCCCTCCGCCCACACACTGACTCAAAAAATCTCTATTTACCCTGTGCCCTAGGAATTAAGAGATTCATTTCTATAAACTTCTATTTCTCCCCTTGCCATTATCAGCCTCAAAATCATAGGGTTACAAGTGTACTGTGACAGGGCATCTTTAAGTACTGCAGGTACTAACTCTACTGAAGCCATGGGTTATGCAACCACCCTGGCTCTCCTAACAAATTATCTCTGGATCAAAAAGGTTCTTCACAGCTTAACCCAATAGCCTTTGTGTCTCCAAAGCATTCTTTCTATATATTCCCAGTAACAACTGGGAATTTCCCACTAATTTCCCACTAATATTCTTCATTAAAGGAAGAGAGTCACACATGTTAGGTTCCTATCATTAACACACTACAAAGAGATGTTATAAGGCTAAGACCTGTATCCACAGTAGTCTAATACGAAAGTTCTTTCATCTAACATCACTTCCCCAATCCCCCAAACATCTGGCTACCCCCAAAAAACCTAAGGAGAGTGTGCAAAAGAGCTATGTTGTTAATCATTCATTATCTATGCATTTGAGGCAAGAAAGAGAGAAATGAAGACTGGTCTGACTTAGGAAAGCTTTTCCCCAAAGAACTCATCTGAGGACAAATTCTACTGTAACAGTGGATTGTTTTTACTTTTTTAGAAGAGAAAACTACAGCCATGACACCTTGGAAAGGTTAGTATGCTTCTTTCTTAGGCAGCTGTTGCCTCTGGGGAAGGGGTTATGGGAAATTTCTCCAACTATCTCCAACCTCTTCTCTGCACAACTTCCTTTCCTCTGCTCTGTGCCCGTGTTAATCCTGGAAGTCAGCCTAGTGGAAACACTTCCTAGAACCTAGACTTTTCATGCACTCATATAGACTAATCCTCTTGTAGACATCTGGATTCCTTGTTCCTCAGGAATGCCTACCGCCTTTCCCCAACTCCATGACTGGCCTCAGCTTTCTCACAGGAGCCTAACTGATCTTGCTGTACTAATGTCATCCTCTCTGTTCCTGGAGTACCTTCCTATCTGATCTACATACCAGATCTCCCTCTTTTCTTAATCCTGAGTGCTTTGGAGCAAAACTCTCAAACTTGTCCTTGCATGCTGCTTCTCAGTGATTCCTTTTCTTTTTCCTCTTTCTTTTAATATCTAAGGATGGTGGGGAGGGAGGGTGGTATTGGGATAAGGATAAAAAAAGAGGGAGTTTCTTATGAGTTACTTGGCTAAAACACATCTTTTTTAAGGTCCTTATAATTACTAGATGTTCCTGTTGGCTACTGATGTTCATAGTCATTGTAAAGAACTCTGATTGGTCTAGTAATGAAAATCTGTGGGCTACTACACTTAGCATAATATTAGCCACACTTATACTCATGCTGGACAGGAGGCAAGGTTGGATGAAGAATCATGGCCTCCTGCTACTGGGCAGATCAAATGCCTCATCAACTGCATCCAGCCGAAGATATGTGAGGCTTCTAGAACCATAATATTATTCAGCAAGGCTTGACTCCTTGAAGAATTGGTCTTGGGCAAATGCCATACATTTTGCAAGTCAGGCAAGGAAGAATTTAGGAGAGTCATGTTCTCACAATACAAAAATACTAGGTAGATTCAAGGCTACTATTGCTCCCCTCTTGTTTCTGTCCCTACCCCCAACACTTTGTTTCTGAAAATGTAAGAAAGCTTCAAAAGAAACTAGGTATGTGCCAGTTTGCCTTCTGGAAGGATCCTACCTTTTGCCATCTGGCTGTATGTGGAACACTATGTGTATGGAGCACTTTGTTATAAGACCTTGGATTGGTGCAAAGTCAATCTCTTGGGATTGCCCTACATCTGCAAGGGCAGTGGCTCCTAGATGAATACCCAAGGAGAGGAGTAAAGAGGGAGGAGCATCCATTTTTGTCAAGGATATCTTAACTCTATCATCTCAAAAAGGTTTGAGCTGATACTCCAGCTGCCATTAGAGACTGTTCCAGCTTGAGATTCATAGAACTCTGTGGCAATTCCTCTTCATGGAACTATCTAAGTTCCAAGCCAAGTATGCTGGAATTCAGCTTCCTTGTCTTTAGTCTGATTATTTTCAAAGATAAAATTTGATGGTGCTAACTCCAGTCATTAATTTCTTTGATAATGGTCACAGATATAAAGGATGGAACAGACTGTCGACCTCTTCGTATTCTTTTTTATCTTATTTTCTGAACACCCAAATATCCACCATCTTCTAGTGTATTTGTACCCTTCTTGCTTGTTCCATGAAGTCTGTGCTCTGTGCCTGGTAGAGAACAATGGGATAGTTTGCAAAATATATTGGAAATGCTTTCAAGAAAATATATGGAATGACTTCATCTGGACAGAGAAAGGTCTATCACAGACTCATAATCTTAGAGTTGCAAGAGATCCAATGTGAACATGAATTCTTTCTGTAACACTCCTAACTAGAAAGCATCCTGTCTCTGCTTGAAGGATGTCCAGTGATGGAGAACTCAATGACTAAGGAAACAGTTCCTTCCTTCTTTTAGACAACCCTAAATCTTATGAAGTTTTCTTTATGTAGAGATGATCTCTGCCTCTCTGTCACTTCTCCCCATTATTCTTGGAATTAGAATGAATTTAATTCTTCTTTCATATGATGATTCTTCAGATACTTGAAAGACAATGACCATCTCCACCCCAACTTCACCTTCTTTTCTACAAGTTAATCATGACCCTCGGACATCCTTTTCTCTAGTGCTTTTCTTCAACTATAGATAAATGAAAAAGGTTGGCTGAGTGTATTGATGGCCCAGGATAAATGTAGTTCAGGGAAATTGGTATAGAAATGAAAAATTTTAAAGGGAGGTGGAGAAAGTTATAATTTTTTCTTCTTCATAATACTGATTTTTCCCCCTTATGACAGTTTTAAAAACAAAAAAACCCGACAGGTCAAGATTCTTTCCTGCAGACTCTTTGTGGCACATTCCAGTGGGGAGTGGAGCCATAAGGAGCATTGATAGACATGATAATGAAAGAGAACATAGAAGGGAAACAGCAGCCCAGAGTGCACACCTGGCAACCCCCCACTGGCCCATTATATGCCTTTGGTGGGAGGCATTTGCCAGCCTAAGAACTGACTCCCACAATGTTAGACTCCCTGGTCTGAAAACATGGTTTTCAGCCCTTCTTTACATGATAACCAAGCAGCCACCTTCTGTGTTGCACAAGCAGCTGGAGGATTTCCCCAAAGAGGGTTTCATGAGGCTGGCCAATCCTCCATGAGGATCAAAGGGGCAAGAGGAAGAGGCAGGATCCAGATCACTGGGAGTTATCATTTGTTCTCTTCTCATTTTATGGATTTCCTTATGTCCATTCATTGTTGTGAGGGCTATTACTGCCAACAGCCAAGAGACATAAGCTTTACCTCAAAGCTGATTTTGTACATAAGTGGATACATGTGTCTGCATGTGTGTGTGTGTGTGTGTGTGTGTGTGTTTGTGTGAGAAAGAGAGAGACAGAGAGACAGGGAAAGATACAGAAAGAAAGGTATTGTTGACAGAAGCTTGTCCCTACCAATGGCATGACTTTCCAAAAATGTATTTGTGGGAATTTCACTTTTATTTTGAAGGTTTTTGTTTTGTTTTTCTTTTTGGTCTATGAGTTTATAAGTGTGGTGAACTACCAATATAACTCAGCAATTCAATCCATGAAGCCATTCTGCTCTGTAGTATTTAAAACCTAACTTGTCCAATGAACACAGGATAACAGTACACTTGATCAATAGCTTTTATCAGAAGCAGACATGGAATCCATACGCCCATATATTCTGAGTTCATATAGACTCGGAAATGATTTTCCGCCTCAGGCCTGAGCAAGGATCATGGGGGTGAATCCAAAGACCTTCATGATGTCATTTAACTAGGAAAAATAAACCAATCCTCATGATCCCTAAAGAGTGGATCTTCCATAGGATCCAAAAATAGCTAGTATGTAGAACCAGAGGCTATTAGTTCCAGAAGAGAGACAGAGGTCATCATCCAATCTGTACCTGAGGAGCAATCCCTTCCACAACAATCCCTGACATGAGGGCATACAGCTTCCAACTGAAGATCTTTGGTTATTGGGAGCTCTCTAGTCCTCTTAAGGAAGCCCATTCTACTAGGAAATTGTTTCCTCCCTTCTATTGACTTTAGCTCTTCATTATTCCTGGTTCTGCATATGTACTCTGGCAAACAAAATGAGTTTATTTCATCTTAAACATGATAGTCTTTAAAATACTTAAAGACAGTTATCATGTGCTCTCTTAGTCTCCTCTTTTCTAGACTAAACACTGACAGTTTTTTTCATCTGAGTTACAAATGACACGGTTGATGGTCCTCTCACCATCCTGTTGCCTTCTTCTGGATATAATCCAGCTTGTCAGAATCTTTCTTAAAATGCAACGTGCAGAACAGAGCACAATCTCTCTCGGAGTACCATAGTGTTATCACCTCCCTTGTTACAGGCACTGTGCTTCTATTAATGAAGCCTCCAATTGAATTAGATTTTGACTGCCATGTTACATATTTGTCTCATGCTAAATTTACAATTTTAAATAAAACTCCTGCATCTTTTTTTTAATGAACTGTTGTATAGAAATTTGGTCTCTACCATGTACAGTTATTTTTAAAAATCTAACTGTAAGACATCACATTTATCCATACTAAATTTCATATTAGTAGATTTGATCCATTGAATAGTGTCCAGATATTTTAGAATTGTGGCTCTGTCATTCAGTAGATTAGCTATTTCTCCAGCTTTTTGTCATCCACAAATTTCATAGGTATGCCAGATATATCTTCATCCTAGTCAATGACAAGAAGGCAGCCATGGAGATGCTCTACTAGATATCTCTCTAGGTTACATTAAACATCACTGTTTAGTGCTAGATTTTTAACCATTTCAGGATTCTCCCATGTATATGTGTGTGTGTGCACACATTTATATGTGTGTATATGCATGTATGTATGTATATTGCCCACAGAAATACAGTGAGAGATTTTTGTCAAATATTGTCCTGAAATCTAGATATTGTTATGCCAATGTCCCGATCTGTTGTCCAGTTTTTTCAGTCATGTCTGACTCTTCATGAGCCCATTTGGGGTTTTCTTGACAAAGTTACCAGATGGTTTGCCATTTCCTTCTCTAGCTCTTTTTATAGATGAGGAAACTGACACAAACAGAGTTAAGTGAATTGCCAAGTATCACATAGGCAGTGAGTGCCTGAGGCCAGATTTGAACCCAAGTCTTCCTGACTCCAGGCCTGGTGCTTTATCTGTTTGACTCCCTAGTTGCCCCATGCCCTGATCTACAGTCTAGTAACTCTGTTAAAAAATGCATTTATTCTGACACAGCCTGTTTTTGAAGAACCCCTGTTGTCTCCTATTGATCATTGCTTCCCTTTTTGAGTGGTCAGAAGCCAATCTTTTAATACATTCTAAGATTTTGCTAGGAATTTTTCGGGTTTACCAGTTAAGCGTATGAATAATCCATTCTGTAACTCTCTCTCTGTCTCTGAAAATTAGCACATTTTCCCATCTTCTGGTGATTAGAACACTTTTTTAAACTTTTTAATTTTAAACATGAACTTCAATTCCCTGTTAAAACACTTTTTTTGCCATATTTTCTGATCAGCAGATCAGTCTCTTTGGCAAAGAGCATAGAAACAAAGTAAGAATGGAGCAGTTTGTACCTTCTCTCTATTATGTATCATCATCATCCTATCCACTCCAAGCAGTGGTCATATTGAGAAATTCACATATGGAAGGGAGCTTAAATGTTATATGGTCCTATCTCTAACTGTACAAGAATCCCTTCTATATCCCTGGAAAGTTAGATCCTTCTTTTTTTTTTTTCCTTTTGCCTCCACCTGAGTTTACTAAAACAACAACAATTGGAGCAACCCTTTTGTTCCTTGTGTTTAGGGTTTCTTTTAAATCTTAGATGATTCGTTAGGCATTCCTAAAGATTACAGAACAGTGATACTATTTTGAAATTCTTCATCCATTGGCTTCCCTACCTTTCATATGCTGTAAATCTTTTTTAAACTGTAAAGCTCTTTAGATAGCTTCCACTTTCCTTCTTCATTTGAATCATTTGCATCACTGGCATTTTGTTCTTGAGAGAATACCATCCATCTTGAGCCAACATTTTTTTTTGCAGAATTTTAGGCCTAGGATATCAGTTATCATTTCCTTGAATTCTTTGAAATCCATTCTCCTCAAAGGATGTATCCCAGTGTTCCAATTCTAAGATGACTTGGTCAACTTTTTCTAAAGATTTCCATCACCTATACTTCATCAAACAGTTCCTTTTTGTTTGTAGGAATCACATCCTAAGTAGTAATTCTCTTAGTTTCTTGCTCTATGTGTTTGAGAATAAAATTATTGACAACTTAAAAATGTGTCTTTTGTTCTGCTTTTATCAGAAAAAGAACTCTGGTCTATGTGTAATAGTTGAAATCTGTCCTCACTCTCATTAGACTAGTTTTCTAAACATGCAGAATTCAGGAAACTTTACTTCAGGGTCTAAATTTCAAGTATTCTTTTCTGAATTTGTAAAGTATAACTTATTTTGGTGGAATGGAGTTGACTCAGAGCTATAATAGATATGTGCTACACTTTACAACAATCTGATATGTGATAATCCAAACTTATTTTACAAAGATGCAGGAAGATGTATACAGTTATGTTATAGAGGTTCTAAAATGCTCATGGCAGGACTTCTTAAAATAGAAGTCTCTGGGTCATTCAAGTATTAAGAGCCACCACCAATTGAGGATTAATCAAAACTGATGATCACTACATCACCAAAACTACATTTAAGTAAATTGGGGTTTGATTTCTGGGCAATGTTTCCAGAAAATATCTATGGCCATGTGGCATATGATGCCTTAGTGTTGGGAAGACCTTACTTCAGGTCCTGCTTCTGATACATAAAAGCTGCATGATCATGGGCAAGTCACTGAACAGTACACCTCAATAACTTTTTAAGACTATACATTACTGAAGAATTATTCATCTTTTCTTGAGTCTTTCTTTTTTTTTGTGAGGCAATTGGGGTTAAGTGGCTTGCCCAGAGTCACACAGCTCATGTTATGAGTCTGAGGTTGGATTTGAACTCAGGTCCTCCTGACTCCAGGGTTGGTGCTCTATCCACTGCGCCACCTAGCTGCTCCTGAGTCTTTCCAAAGTAGTAGTTCCCCAAAGCACTGAAACCACGGGTCCACACAAAGTCAGTTGCCTACTGGGGCAATATGCCCCTATACCTATAGGGATTTTGTGAAGAAGGCTTGGTGCTGTCCTTTCTTCTGAATGGAGAACCAAAGAAGGTGTCAGAAGGAGAGTCAGATGTGTTGTGATGGAAAGAATGGATTTCCATTAGATTGTAAGCTCCTTGAGGATAGGGGCTGTCTTTTGCCTCTTTTTGTGAACCCAGCACTTAGCACAGTGCTTGACACCATAGTAGGTACTTAATAAATATTTACTAATTGATTAATTGATTGATTTGTGGTCAGTTCAACCACTTAATAGCAAAGTCAATCTGGGTAAATCACTTAACCACATTGGGCCTTCATATTGTCATCTGTAAAATGAGAATAATGATTTTTTTTCTTTACTACCTATCACACATTTATACTGTGATCATCAAATGGGATTATTATTATTATTATTATTATTATTATCATATGTTGATATCAACCAAAAGACTCTCCAATTGCTAAGTCCTTGGTTCCTGGACTATCCCAAATAAGACTCTGGAGTAGTGCAAGGTTGGAATTCCTTGTTGGGTATGAAGTTTCCCTAAAGAATTGAAGGTTTATATAAGGATTAAGGTTGGAAGTGAGAGCCACTGGTCCATAGCTTGAAAAATCTGCAGGCTTAGTCACTCAAATATGCAACTTGTCTGGCTAACATTGACCAAAGCACATGCCCCAGTAGGGCTCTCATCCTATACATTTCGTTGATATCTTACCTGATCACTAGCTTGGTCTTTGGTTCTTGCTTTTGGGAGAGTCAGTTTATTCTGATATAATGGGGAATACTGATCTAATAGGGAGTACCCTGTCTGAACAGGTTACCTTGGTTCAATGAGTATCAAATTATTCGAGTACCTAGACTCTCAGACTGATATAGATGTATGGGAGTCCTAATTGTTCATAAGTATCCTTGGTACAATGGGGTAAGTAGTTGGCAAGTTTGTTTCTGAGTGGCTAGGGTGTGTGTGTGAAGGAGACAGGCAGAAGAAAGGATCCAGTGACCTTAAGGTCTACACTGTTAGTCCATTTCCCTCCCTCATTTGACACATTCTCAATGGGGTGTCTGTGGGGTTGAAGCCATGTTTTCATCTTAGGAATTGAAAGTAGGAACTTGGTCCTCTCCAGTGCTGAACCTAAATTATAGTAGCAGGTTTTTTTTTTTTTAAATTCCTTGTTTCAAATATATCTTGGGTGGTTATTTCAATGTATAGCAAGAGTCTGGACTGTTCTGCTGACTTGGGCCCATTTATTCTCTATATGGGTTAGCCCCTGCCTTCCTGTCAGCATTGTTTTCTCCAGATGGAGAAGCATCCAAATGTTCTTGGTGGAACCCCTGTGACCTGGTCAGTAAGAAGGTGATTGACAGTGTACCCTCAGAGCAGACTGTGGCAGCAGCAACAGCAGAAAGACAGATTGGCTTTTCAACAGGTCTTTCTCTAGACAACAGGTTGGACAGCTGGATGGTTAAGTGAACATTTAAGATGGCCTGAGTTATCAAAAATGATGAGAACAGTGATGGGGCCATGTGCAGGCTCTGATGTTTATCATTAATTGTTCTGGAATGTTCTGAAACATAGATTTAAAGGTAATCTAGTTCTTTTTTCACTAGACATGCCATACTAAGACTTTAGCAGCCACAATGTTCTCATACTAGTTTCCCTAACCCCCCACACCTTTAGCTTTCAGCGACAGCATTTCTAGGGAGCAATGCATATTAGCACAACCAAATTTGACATAGCTTCTTCATCTGGAAGCTGGGGTTTGGGGAAGACTAGATGATCTTTAAGGTTCTTCTCAAATCTAAACCCTACAATCCTAAGAATTGCAATTCCAATTCAGGCCAGCACCTGCAACCCACAGAACAGTGGGACTCATGAAAAGCTTGTCTCAGAAGCTGTGCTAGAGCAACAGGGGTCATGGGTAACTCCAAAGGTCATTAGATGTTCAAGCATGAGCTCCCAACTCAGGTTTGGGTCTATGATGGCATTTCCTTCTCGGTTGAAGTTAGACTTCTAAAAACACTCTGTGTTCTTCCCACAGCCCCTGGTGCAGTCAGCGAAGTGAACAATGGGACGTCAAGGAGAGCTGGTTGCATTTGGCTCTTACCCCTTCTCATCTTGCACCTGTTGCTTAAATTTTGATGTGAGTGTCACTTCCCCACTGGGGAGCAGCCTCCACCACCTGCAACCACCAACTCAACAGCAGCAAAAAGAGCATACAAGTTTTTTTTTTCTTTTTAAGAATTAAATGAAATTAAGATAAACCAAGCCTAATGTGATAAAAAAAAAATCTAAGGGAAAGGGCAACTGGGGAGGGGGAGGGAAGGAAATTGCCTTGGAGGTATTTAGGCACAACTGCTTCTTTTCTTTAGCCCCAAATTATGAGTGCACACCCGGCTTTGGACCCACCTGCACGCTGCATTGTGTGGCCTCTTTGTTTCCATGGGGGGCAAAGGGTCAGCTGCTCTTCCTATTCTGACGTCCCCCATCCGCCACAGAAGACTTCTGAGCTGGCGGTCCTAAACTCTACTGGTAGATCCAGATGTGCAGACCCAGATGTTCCTTGGAGGACTTCTTCACAGGCATTACGTGTGATGAAAAAGAAAAAGAAAAAATATCTTCAAAACAACCCACTGACAACAACTATCCCGCGAAACACAACAACAAGAAATATATTGTTACATGTTTTTCATTTTACTACATGGACATCATGGATAATAAGGGATTCTGATTCATTATTAATTTTATTAATTATATTTTCTGATATGAACCTAGAACTGTTAGTGCAAAAACAAAAGAAAACTTTACAAAAACATGCAAAAAGAGGTGAAAGAGAAAGTATGTTTATTAAACATTAAAGATTAATAGTGTTCTTAACTAGGTTTACGAGTGGTGGAGCATAGCACCGGGCATTAGCCAACTGGTGAGGATTCTGCACGCCCACCAAAAAGTGATTTAACCAACATCTCTACCAGCGCTACAGATTTCTCATCCTTACTTCAGCGTTTAACGCATACAGTAACTATGCTATTTACAAACTGTTTAGAAATGGAAAGAGTGATCTCCATTGTATGATGAGTTTGTCAGCTATGCTTCTTTTAATGATACATATATATGCGTATGTGTTACACATATATACGCATATATATTCACACACTTTTTGTTAGTAGAGTACTAGTCATTTTCTTTCTCTGCAGGGTCCTTTCTCAGACATTACTGCATGCTGTATATGGCGTTAGCTGTGTGTTGGTCTTCTAAGACATGATAGAGTTTACTGGTAATTGTGTAATCAACTCCTGCCTTTTTTATTTTCTTGGGTTATTTACATGTCGGAGACATTTATAGAAAGTAAAAAAAAAAAGCAAACAAATGAAAAAGAAAACTAACCAGATGCAGCATCTCTTTCTGGGTATGGGTCTGTGAGGTGAAAGCCATCACAGGTGGCATGCTTCCCATTACCCCCTAGGGTACTGACAAGAACCAACCGATGGGACAAAAAGAGAGAGAGAAAGAAAAAAAAGTAACCACTTGCTTTAGCCCTGTGTGGGAATGAATCTGTTACACCCTTGTGGCCACTGGAGAATTTAAACTCTCTTGGTTCATTTAATTTAATTTTTATTTCCTTTTTTTGTGGATGAAATGGAAGAAAATGACATTTTTAGGTCACCTTTTTTCTGGGAGCTTGGAAAGCAGAGAGGCCTCTGGGAGGGATCCTGGATGTGATGAGGGAAGGTGGGATTCAGGGCTGGGGGAGGGGGGGGTTGTCTCTGACTTGATATTAAAAAGTGTTCCATGTCCCTCTTCAGCTTGGTGTGGTACCTCTTTCTAAAGCTGGGGGAGGGAGTCTTAGGGGGTGAAACAAGTTGAAAGATGGTCGAGGGAGAGGACTGGTATGGATGCTGGCTTATCTAGCATCTTCATAGGTGGGCTTAAAAAGCTTTGGCATGAGACTCCACTGACAAGAATGCCAGGAAAGAAATTTGGCAGAGACTCGGTAAGTTGTGGGATTTATGGTCTTTTTGATGGTCTTGATGGGAAAAGTCTGCATAAACAGTGAGGTAGATGATATGTAGCATCTTCCACGGTCTCTCCAAGCAATCTCCCTGGAGAAGAGACCTCAATATCATAGTTCAAGTCAAAGGTGCAGGACAGTGACCAGGGCCACGATGTCTTGGTGTTACAATCTCTCTGTGACTATCGGCATCCAGATAGAAAAGAAGCACAGCGTGGCTATCAAAACAACAAAATCTTCAAATTGGGTTCCTTTCCTTATGTTCCCTTCATCCACCATTCTAGAGCAGCAGCCTCCAAAGCAGAGGCCTCCCCCTCCTATGGGTATGGATAGCCAATTGGAGAGGAGATAGATTGATTCTATCCCAGCCTCTCATAGCCAATCATGGGACTTGTCTCTAGTAACACCTCCCTCTCCCCTTCCCCCTTTACTAGATACCTCTTCCCCACATGTACACATAAGCTTTCCATTGGCTTTGTGGTTTTGCAATGTCCAACCCACTCCACTTCTGAGGCCAATGCAGAAGATTACAACAACCACCACTACTCCTCCCCCTGCCACTACATACACATACATACATACACGCACAGACACACACACACTCTGGCTTCTGTGGCAGACAAAATTCCTTCAGTCAGCATGTCTTATGCTTTGTGGCTATAGCAGACATCCTTGAATAGGTTCTCATGACCAAGAAGTGCCCTCCTTTCATTTTGATGGTATATAATGAGTCTTGAAGGGTGATGAAGCATGAATGGGTTGCAGTCTTCATGGTGGATCTCGTTATTTTATTTTTAACTCAAAATTCATCCCTTAAGTTCATTTATTACTCTTTTATTATCTATAGTACCACCAACATTCTAACCACCCAGCTTTACCACTGCAAGTCATTCTGGACTCCTTATACTTCTTTGCCCTATATAGCTAATAAATTGCCATCTTGTCAATTATATTTTCATAATATCTCTGAAATGTGACCCTTTCTCTCCAGTCACATGGAGAGGACCTCTTTAGGCCCTTATCACTTTACATATATATGCATTATTGCAACAGTCTCCCTGCCTGGAATCTGTCCCTTCTCCAATCCATTCTCTATACAACTGAAAAACTGATATTCCTAAATAGAAGGAATGTCACTTACCTACATAATAATCACCAGTGGCTGCCTATTGATTCTAGTGCCAAATATTATTTCATTTTGATCTTATTTTTAACATGTTTTGTGTTGTACTTATTTATTAGGTATAAAATCAGTCAGGCAGCAAGTTAACAAGCACATATTATACTCACATTTTGCTCCAGGCACTGTGCTAAGTGCTGGGGATCCAAAGAAAACCCAAAACATATTTCCTGCCCTCAAGCTGCTCACAGTCTATTGGGGGACACAACATGCAAAAATATATATACACCTAGAATATATACAGTGTAAATAGAAGACAATTTCAGAGGGTAGGCACTAAAAGTAGGGGGTGGGGGGGTGGGGTGGGATGAGAAGAAGGGAGGAATGGCCTGGAAAAAACCCCTTCCAGAAAGTGGGATTTGAGCTAAGTCTAACCAGGTAAGCCAGGAAGTAGAGCTAAGAAGGAAGAGCATTCCAGTGCTGGGGGACAGACAGTAGAGATGAGGTGGAATGCTGACATGTAGAGGGGAAGGAAGTGTTAAAAAAAAAAAACAAATGAAAAATTAAAAGGGGGCTAGGTTGTGACTTTAAAAGCCAAATGGAGGATTTTATATTTGATTTGAGAGGTAATAGGGAGCCACTGGAGTTTAGTGAATAGGGGAGCAATAACATCAAGCCTGTGCTTAGGAGGATCTCTTTGGCATAGGAGTGGAGCTGGGGCTGGAGAGAGGTGAGAACTGAGGAAAGGAAACCAATGAGAAGATTATTGTAATAGCCCAGGCATGATATTATGAGGGCTTGCACCAGGATGGCAACTGTATGAGAGGTGGCAGGAGCAGCCGTACTGGACAATTGATTGAATATATGGGGTGAACGTGAGGAGTGGAAGACAGCACAGAGATTACAAGCCTGGATGACTGGAAGGGTGGTGATGCCCTCAGCACTAGTAGTGATGTTGGGAAGATGGGAGAGTTTACAGGGGAAGATAAATAAGTTCTATTTTTGCTATTTTGAGTGTGAGATGTCTATGAGACATTAAGATTGAGAATTCCAAGAAGTAATACAAGTTTGGAGGTAGGAAAGAACTTAGGGATGGATATATAGATCTGGGAGTCATCTGCTTAAAGATGATAGCTGAATCCATAGGAGCTGATGGATGATCACCAAGTGAGATAGTAGTCCTTGGACTGCAGATTAAGAACTTTTGGCATAGAGGGCCCAGGACAGAGCTGTGGGAGACACACAGAGTTGGTGGATATGGGTGTGTGCGGGATGAAAGTCCAACAAGGGAGAGTGAGAAAGAGCAGGCAGTCAGGTAGAAGGAGAACAAGAAAAGAGTCGTAGCTTCTGATCCTCCTATTACCTGTCTTACCTGTCTTTATAAATAAGAAAATAAACATGGAGGATTCTCTCTTTCTCTCTCTCTCTCTCTCTCTCTCTCTCTCTCTCCCTCCCTCCCTCCCCCTCCCCCAAAATGGGTGTGAATTTTTTTAAATGGAGACCTTTCTTTTAGAGGGTCCCTTTTTTACACCTCGTTCCATTACCAATCCCCAGAAAGCATCTTTTCTTACTCATACAAGGGGTAGAGCTTCATTCTATTCATTTTTTCTTCCCAGTCCCAAATGAAGAGGGAAGGGAGTTAAGAATTATTTTAAAGTCATTTGAAAGAGAACTCACAAAGCACTAAATTGCTAGGGTTGGCCTCCAGGTATCAAACAATTGAAGATTCATTCGTCCCCCTTGAGAGTTGGAAATGAGGGCAGTTACAAGTACTCAAACCTTGGTGTGCCTATGACATAAAATTCAGATCCTGCCTGAGAGGAAGCCTTGAGAAGCTCAGATATATGCAACTAGGAAAGGTTTGTTTCATTCAAGTATCTTCAATAAGTATTAAGTGCCTACTGTGAGCCACCTACTGGGAATACAAAAATGAAACAGCCATTGCCTTGAAGAAGCTTACATAGTGCTGAATGCTTGATTCTCCATTCCATATCCCATAACCCTAACCTTGCCCTAGTTCTTCCTTTCTTCTACCAGATTTCCCTTCTAGCTATAAATGAGTTATGGTCAGGTAATGCATTACCAATGTCTCTCCGCCTCTTATGCTTGTAGCTTTGTATTTAGCCTGAGATACATCTCCTATGTTCTAGGTAAAATGCTAATGCCTCTCTTACTTCCTTAAGTCTCTACCAATGAAGGTCCCTGTGCTCAAAGTTTATATTAGTTCTCACCAGAACCCAGAGCCCAAGAGTAGAAAATGCCAATAGCCAATGGACTACCCAGTGGGTGCCATGGCTGACAGGAGCTGCTAAGAAGGGAAAAGAGAAAGGAATGGCATAGTTTCTGTTTCCCTAATCAAACCATGTTTCCCCAAGGGGAGAAAATGAGGTTGCTGGTAAGAAAAGGTCATTTTCAAGCTCAGTGGTTGACTGAGCTTAAGAACATTGAGCTTCCTATGCAGACTGCTTAACTTTGTCTTTACCACTTTACTAGCTGTTCTGGCTGTACTTTGAATGTTATACACATGTATATAAAAGCAGGTCATTCTTGAATTCATGGCTCACCTTCAGGAGCTGCTGGTCTCAGTCCAGGACACTCAAGGAATGGACTGATTTTATAGGGCTTCTCTGATGGACCAAAATCTTGCTGCATTTTGTTTCTATCCCAGGGAGGCCTCCCAAGGGTACCACTTACCCTTAAGTTCCCCAGAAATAGAAGTAAGAAGAATCATTATTGAATGGATGAACACTCCCAAAGCTGAGGTTACCATGGCTCATTCAACAGGCCTCACTCCCACTGACGGACTTGGCTCCCTTCCAAGCTTTCTTGTTCCCATTCCTCAAGTCTCCAGCTCTGCTATGTTACAGACTCTGAAGGGGGTTATTGGGGTTCCAGAAGGAAGTGGAATCTTTATTCCACTCCCTCAAATGAACACCATGAGCAAAAATACTTCCATTCTCAATAACCCAGGTGGCAGAAATGCTAGGGAAGATTCATACTCATTTTAGGAAAAAACTGCAAATTTATCAATAAAGTATTCAATAAAGTTTCCTGTCATAAGAGAGAATTCCCCTTCACATACTTACAAAAACTGAGTTCTTTTAATTTAAAAAATGGTATCTTTTGTTTTCACATCACCTTTATTTTCAAATATATCATCCCTTCCCAGTGAGCCATCCTTTATATATATGAACAAACCAGAACATTGACTTAGTCTAACAATGTATACACTAATCCAGACTCATAGCTTCCTACCTTTAAAAGGAAGGGAGGAATGTGCATTTTCTCATCTCTTCTCTAGGGCCCAATTTTTCCATTTTAATTACAAAGCTTTCAGTTCCAAAAATGATTTCTTGATGGAATTATGATTTCATATCTTGGATATGTAGCATGTTGTAGTGTAGCAAGCTGCCACCATGTTAGATTGAGCCCCTATGAAATCACCTAGACCTTAGAGTAATATTGTGTTGGCTATTACCAGATTTCCAAATTTGGCTCTTCTCATAAGAACTGCTGGATAGATGCAAGTACTGCTGGATAGATGCAAGTACTGAACCAAGGTCTCTCTTGTGGAATAACCTATGATTTCA